TGCTGTATGCCTAAGAATCCTGAGGTGTAGGGCCAGATGATAGACAAGATAATCTCCATTGCTAAGATGATGTGATGCCCAACAGGGCCCATGACTGGCATCGTTGCACATGATGAAACCTGGAGAATTGAAGCACAGGTCTTCCAGAAGTAGAAATGAGAATGCATTGTAGGTTGGCAATGTCTTCTGGGCTCTCCCACCCCTAGTCTAAAAATCATAAATTGCAAGCCTTTTGTTGGTCTAGAAGTTTGCTCATAAAACTACCCTCAATTCCCTCTTGACCCTTGAGGGGAGGGATGGACAGAGGAAGAGCAAGAGAAGACTGTTCATTTCTGAACTGTAGAGGTCCAGTTGGGTTTGAGCCACATGAGCAGTCATCTTTATTTAGGAGGCACTAGCCTTGTGTGAAGTCCAGGTGGTGCTTCTGGATGCCGGGCAGAGGTGATGCAGGGCCTTGGTGAAAGAGCTGGGCAGAAGATGTGTCTGCCACAGCCTCCCTCCCACATCCACTCACACTCATAGACAGCAATATGAATTTATCTAACTACCAAGGTATGCTTTAGATTTTAACTACCCTAGGAATGAAGGGCTTGGGATGGATTCAAAAAGTTTTTTCTTCTTTTTTTGTTTCAACACTGTTTATCTTGTCCCTTTGAAAATTTCTGATGTTTCTAAATTATTTTAAAAAATAATTTAAAAAATAAAACATAGCTCTTTTGGTCTACAATGGAGATGAAAGGGTTTTAAAAGATAGCTCTCTGTCCTTGGCATCTTTTAGGTTTGTATTTTTTTTTTTTTATTGTGACAGCTCACAATAAAAAAAAAAGTAGGTTTATTCCTACTCTGTTTGTGAAGTTGTATGTCTTTCCCAGTGTTTTACTGCAGTTGGTTTACAGGCTCACTGATCACGTGTGTGTGTGTGTGTGTGTGTGTGTGTGTGTGTTGGGGGATGGTACTGGGGGTTGAGCATAGGGGTGCTTTACCACTAAGCACACCGCAGCCCTTATAATTTTTTTTTTATTTTTTGTTGCTGAGGCTGATCTGTAACTTGCTATCCTCCTGCCTCAGCCACCCGAGTTACTGCGATGACAGGTGTGGCCACTGCACCCAGTGTATACTGTATTTTAAACTCTGCAGGGACCCTCTTATTGCATGTTATCTCAGAGTGTGGCCCATTTGATTTTCTATATGAATTTTAAGAACCATTTTTATCCAGTTCTATAATGGTTTTGGTGATTATTATTATTTTTTTGTCTGGAATTGCATTCAATCTGTAAATTAAATTGGGAAATATTTCTGTCTTTTCTGCAGTTAGTGTTAAGCTAGAAGTATGGTCTCTTCATTTATTCATGTCTCTATTTCTTCCATTAAGGATTTATTTTTTCTTTATGTAATTTTAATGTATCAGGTATAACTTGGTAGGTGACTATATCTCAGATATATTTCCCGAGTGTGTGATACTTTTGTTGCATTGTGAATGAACTCTCTTTGTTTCATTAGATTTTCAGACTGTTTATTATGTATTTGTAGGAACGATATTGATTTTTGTATATTTTTCTCATCTTCTGCTACTTTTAGAATAGGTTGTTGGTAAGGTAGCTGCCCTGGCACTCTGTGCAGGGTCCAGAGGGTATCATGGAGGGATTATTTCATGGGGAAAGACCCAAATGCTGGTCCATGATGAAATGAGGGAAAGAAAGATGATACAAGCCAGATTTATTCAGGGAAGGAACTAATCTTGATTTTGAGGCTACATAAGCTTCTTACCTTTTAGGATTTTGGCATTTTATTGTTGTTAGATGGGTTGTAGATGATAATTATGGTTTAGTTTTTAAGATTTTACAGGTTTTTAAAATAAGAAGTGCTTACGTAGATGGATAGATAATACATACACACACACACACACAAATAAAACTGAATTCTACCTTCCTCCCTAAAAGAATTCAGAGTTTTTAAAAATTTAGTTTAATTTTCAGTGTCTTTACTAAGCAGAAAAAAGGTGGTTGGCAATCCTGTGAGTCCCACACATTTCTTTTGTCTGAAATCTCAGAATATAGGAGGTTCCATTTCAATGCCTTGGGGTTTATAGTTTTGATATTCAGTAAATCTGGGCTTCTTTTTTTAATTTTAAAATAATTTTTGGTTTATTCTTTTGGCTTTTTCTAGTCATGTTGTTTAGTTAGATTGATGTTTTTTATTACTTCTTTCATTTTTCTCAAATTTCTTCATCCCTCATTTGCGCCTCACTGTGTTCTCTGAAAATACATGAAAGAGAAGAATCTTTAATACTTTACTAAATGAGAGGGATGGAATGGGGCCACCCTTGTATTGCTTCTGTTTTTAAAGGGATTTTCTCTAATGTCCTTTCTCTAAGAGTATGTAGGTGGGGCTTAAAATGGAACAAGTGGATATCCCTGTGAGAGGGATTCAGCAGCAAGGCTGGAAGTAAAAGGCCAAATGCCAGACATGGGAACCCATTGGGCCTGGATATAAATCTCTCCATTCTCGACCAATAACTTTTTCTCCTGGCAGTGAAGGTGATGGTAATAGCAATGATTGTAGTGGTGGTGGTAGTGGTGGTGGTGGTAGAGATGGTAGTGGTAATAAAGGCCAAAAGCCAAGAAAACCAGGGAAGAATTTCAAGAAACCCAGTCAGGCAGAAGAAGACTTAAAAATGAGATTGGAGAAGTAGTCAATTGTTGAATTTTGTCTATATGAATTTTTAGTTTTCTTTAGTGGTTCTTTTTTTTTCCAGTACTGGGGGTTGAACCCAGGGCACTTAACCACTGAGCAACATCTCCAGCCTTTTTTATATTTTATTTTAGACACAGGATCTCAGAGTTGCTTAGGGCCTTGCTAAGTTACTGAAGCTGGCTTTGAACTCTTGATTTTCCTGCCTCAACCTCCTGAGCCACTGGGATTACAGGTGTGTGCCACTGTGCCCAGCACTTTAGTGGGTTCTCAGTGGAAAGTTTTAGAAGTTATAGGAGTTTTATCTAAAAAGATGCCCTAATAACCACTATGGGTCAAATATTCAGATAGGCACCAGGAATATGGTTGAAAGCCAAATCAGACTCTCTTGTCTTCACTCAGTGTATGCAGTGGGATTTGGAAATGATGAATCACCACACTAAGGAGGGTCTTATTACAATCTGAGCTAAGGGCACTAAAAAAGAATTTTTTTTCCAAAGTGTACAGCAGAGGAAGCCGCCCTACATTCAGACACGTCAGGAAATACTTTCCTGAGAAAGTGATATGTGCACCCTTAAGCTGAGAACTGAAGGGTGAGCATGTGGTGGCAGGGGCTGGTGCCATTCCAAATAGAGGAACAGAATATTCGTGGGCCCTCTGGTGGAAAGGAGCTAAGTCTGTTAGGGAACCCATAGGAGGTCATTGGAGCTGGAGGACAGAGGAGATGTGTGTGGAGGTGGGCAGGGGTTACCACTCAGGGTCTTATCAGCCCAATAGGACAAAATGAAGTCTTTATGTTTTCTTGCCTAGCCTTGGAAGAGTGGGAACCATTGTGATGGGCAGAAAGTGTTGAAATCAGGTCATTTGTTTCAAAGACCTCTCTGACCCCAGCAAGAAAAGATGAGATTAGGAAGGAAGTCAGAGTTGGTGGTAGCTGGGATCTACAAAGGGGTTGATTCTAGAGATATGTAACACTGGTGGTGCTGAGAGTAGTTTCAAGAGCTGCTTAGGGAGTGGGTGCAACAGCGCACATATGTAATCCAGCTGCCCTGGAGGCTGAGGTAGGAGGATCACAAGTTAAAGGCCAGCCTCAGCAACTTAGCCAGACCCTATCTTAAAATACAACAAAAAGAACTTTGGTGTGACACCATGGTCTAGCGCCCCTGAGTTCAATCCCCAGTGTGTGTGTATGTGTATGTGTATGTAACTAGATAGAAGCCTGCCTTCCACTGAGCTAATGAAGGGGAAAAGAGACTCTAAGTTCTAGCATGTTCTGCCCGCGTTCTACCTTTGGCTTATGGAATTGAAAGTGGCTTTGTGTCACGCATGACGAGGCAACAGGTAGGTCAGGTGCTCATGGAGAAGCTGTTGTAGAAGCAGGAAAAATCCAGAGATAACGAGGGTACTGAGAGGAACGCCCCAAATTGAGTTTCCAGCTAAAGTCTACGTGAACAGAAGTCTTTCTTCCCAGAAATCAAGCCTCAGCCCTCGTTTTACAAGTGAGGAAACAGACTCAGAGCAGGGGGACCTACAAGTTTGTGGCAAAACCAGATTGTAGGCTGCATTTCCCTAGTCTTAGTTCTGTCCGGTTTGTTCATTAGGAGTGTAGAGTCTTCATGTGGAGTGGAAGATGAGCCATCGGCTCAGATGGCAGCCCTCTTGATATCAGATCTATTTTTTGTCTGCAACAGTTCACAGCTTCACATTCTTTTCTTGATCACTTTAGAACTGACATTCCACCGGCTCCTTATTAAAGAAAGAACTGGCTAGAAGTGGTTTGGAAGCTAGAAATAGAACTATACCATGCTCTTACTAATCAAGCCTGGCAAAGTCCACATGGCAGCTGGAAGGACTGGACAAGGTTAAAGCTAATATGGTTTGATGACACTCTCTTTTTCTGCTGGTTATTCAGAAATCCAGCCAGCTTCAAAAGTACCAGTTATTACTTAAAACTGTTCCCCCAAAACTTGAGAATTGTGGTACAAGAAAGGCAAATCCATTTTTCTCAAGACCTGTTTTCAAGATGTCTGCTTGTGGAAACTGTGACATCTACAGCTTCCTTTAGCTTGACTTCTTAATTTTTTTTTAAATAAGTGGTAGCCTTTAATATCTCAAAAGGAATAAGATGAAATAGTTTTTCTAAATAAAAATGTCAAGTCCAGGATTAATAAATACATATTCTAACATGAAAAGATTTTTTTAAATTATTATTTTACTATATAACAGTAAATACACCAGATTTCATTTTCTCAAATGGTGAATGAGACACTGGATGACTTTTTTCTTTGTTTTTTCCAAGAGTCTCAATATCATCTGTCTTTTGGAGAATTCAGATTTTTATAATATCTGTAAGACTGTCCCTGAGGATACCAACGATGCTTAGTAATAAAGAACATTTTTCTAAGTTTTTCTATCATGAATCCTTGCTCAAGGTGTTCAGCTTTTTCTTCTAATGTGGTTTTCAGCACTTGATCATGTGTTTCTCCATCATTGTGCACAGGATCTGGTAGAGGGATAGGCTGTGTGTGTTCATATGGGATATCCACAGAAGGGTGGTAGCATACTATTGTTCTGCCATCAGATGTCAAAGCGAGCTCTATTTTGCAATTAGAGTCTGGAAGAGAAGAAAATGTAGATTTATGACAAATACCAGATAAAGCTCCATTTTGACCTGGAAATAAATGTTTCAATAAAGTTCTCTTTGATATCACCCATTTTAAAGCTATTAGTGTTATGATTAGATGGTGATGAAAGATGTTCTGAAGAGCAACCACCTTTATAATCTGCTTCTAGGCACTCCAATTTTTATTCCAGGAGACCACCATGTTGCCTCTTTGACTACTCAATCTATTTATTATTTATCAGTACTGAGGATTGAACTCAGAGGCACTCGACATCTGAGCCACATCCCTAGCACTATTTTGCATTTTCTTTAGAGACAGAGTCTCACTGAGTTATTTAGCGCCTCACTATTGCTGAGGCTGGCTTTGAACTTGTGATCCTTCTGTCTCAGCCTCCTGAGCTGCTGGGATGACAGGCATGCACCACTGCGCTTGGCTTGACTACTTAATTGTTTAAAAAAATGTTTTATAGTTGCAGATGGACAGAATGCCTTTATTTTATTTGTTTATTTTTATGTGGTGCTGAGGAACGAACCCAGTGCCTCTCGAATGCTAAGCAAGTGCTTTGCCACTGAGCTATAGCCCCAGCCCTTGACTACTGAATTTTAATGCAGATTTGCACATATGTCTGTGTGAATAGCTTGTGTCATCTAATAATTCTAAAATACCAAATAGAGCTCAGGCTGAAGTCTGCTTTGTACCACTGTTGTAATCAGAGGCTCCATAAGGAGGAGAGAGGCTGGGAGCTGTTCCTGCTGTGCTGGTGGGGTTGGAGGCTGCCATGTAGCCTCCTCCAGCAGAGCCACATGGGGCCTTGGACAGGGAAGGAGTCAGTCTAGACTGGGAGCTGCTGGTCTAGGGGTGTGCTATAGTCATTGTAGGCACAGATTATAGTCAAAACTGAACTCAGAAGTACCTTAGAAATGCACAGTCCTTTAGAAATATTGACTCTATTTTTGCTCAAACTTGTTCCTTTCACACACTGTCATGATTTTTGCCATATTCCCATCATGTAAATATACTTAATAGTTTTCTTTAACTTGTTTTCTTTATGTGAGTGAATTTTTTTTTATTTTTAATTTTTTTTTATGAATTTTTTTTTTAAAGGAAAATCAGGCCACTGAGATAAAAAAAAAAAAATTGCCAACATCACCTGGCTTCTGGTTGCACATGAAGATAAATGCATAGTTCTAGAAATGGACAGTGTTTCCCCTCTCCCCTCAAGACCCATCCTGAGCACCACCTTGTTCTTGACCAGTCCTCCAGTCTGTTCATTGACATAGAAGAATGGTGCCTGGGGAAGATGTGAGGGATGGTCTTCTTGTGTGATAAGATATTTCCCACCGAAAGAGACAAATGAGGTTTGAATCTCACTATCCAACTATGCCCCTCAGCTGGGGAGTGGTGAGAGGCTTTGATCCCCACAAGCTGAAGCCTTCTGGGTTTTGGCAGGACCACGTTACTTGGAACACTGCTTCTTTCCATGACGTTTGCCTTCTAATAATAAGTTCGCAGGTGTAGTTGTCTGATCTGCCTTTACCATGACACTTTGCTGTCATGTCACATGTTCATGTTTGCAGATGTAGCTGGGTTGGCCTTGATGGTGGAGGGCCTCTCTAGCCTTGGCCTCAGTGGACCTGTGTCCCAGCCTCCAGCCAGCAGAAGCTCAGGCTCTTGGCTTCCTGAGGCAGGTTCTGCAGCTGCTCTCCAGCTGACTTCTGGCCTTTCTGCCAAGCAGACCCCACTCTCCTGTCTTCACTCTCAGTTTCTCCCAGAATTTGGGTGGGGTTTGGGGTGGGTCTTTCCTCCCTTTGTTCTCTCTGTGTTTGATATGGTGCCAGAAGAGCCTATGCCTAAAAGTACAGATTCATGCATATGGAAGATAATCCTTTCATAAAGTTCAAAAGCAGTCGAAACCAAGCCACCATACATGGTAGGACTCTCTAGATGAACCCAAGACTTCAGGTTTGCCTCTAGTAGTGAAGGCCATTCCGAGGATGGGGTTCTTTCAGTGCTTTCTGGGTCACAGAAGTCACTCTTTGTTATTTTTAAATACAAATTTATTTTTTTTATTTTTCTGCAGGGCCTCACACATGCTAGTGTTCTACCACTGAGGTACAGTCCCCAGCACCCCAACACTAAGTTTTAAAAGCATGGCTTCAGATTGTCTCTGTGGGTGCAGAGCATGGGATGGTTGCAACCAACCCAGGGCCTCTGGAAAATGGTCATTTCCAGGCCAAGCTGTCCCTGTTAGGTAGCAGGACTTTACTTGCTTTCGTTCTTTTTCTATAAATTAAGAGGCTCCAGGAGAGTTCCTAGTACATAAGGGACCCTTGGAAAGTATTTAACATTGTTTGCACATGCATATTTTTAAACTTGCTATGGAAATTTTCAGGCACACCAAGTAGAAAGGAGGTCAGTAGGCTTAGAGCATGCTGAAGGACTGTCCACATCTGCTTCTCTGCTGTCCTCTGCCCCCCCTTCCCATCTTTTCTTCCAGAGTCTTCTCAAATAAATCCCAGAAAGCACATGATTCACCTCTGGCATATTTGGACAATAGAGTGAGTGCTACCATTCTGGCTTGATGGCTTTGCCACACTTAGCCATTCATTCTTTCTAGGTCCTTTTGGGAAAAGTTGAAGCCACACTCTTTGCCTCCAAAGAAAGCATGTTTGGAAAACTAAAACAACTCTTGCCTTCTCTTCCCATGGCACACATCATTCTGCATTTGCCTGCACCTTTGTACCGAGTACTGCTCTGGGCCCTGAGAATGAAAGCCAAAATAAGGAACAGGTAGCCTTGGGCCTCTGCACAAAGGCAGGCTGATGATGTGGTTAAGGAAGAGGACACTTGCTTCAGTGAGCCCCAGGAGTTTCCTAAACCTACCACCCATCTTTTGAGGCCCCTTTCAAGGCCTCCAGATTTATTGTTGGCAATTGCCCCCATTGCCAAAGCAAAAGCAGGCACATTTTCAGTAGCTGGCGCCTAGACAGATTTCAGCTGTGCCCCTTCTGAAGGAATGCACAATGGGAACACATGGAGCCCAAACCAGTGCAATGGCAGTTGTCACCATCCGTGTGGAAAGATTTTGTCCTGATCAGCTGCTGGGCCTCTTTGCATTATATTAATAGCAGAACTATGGGGCTGCTGGGGTTTGAAGCCAGGGAGAGGACAGCTGTAGCAGACATCACACCATGCTCCAGGCATGTGCTCCTATGTCACGGGCACACAGATGGCCCGCACCTTGCCCTGCCGCTCAAAAGCCCCCTGAGCCCCTGCCTGCTTTGTCCATGTAGGGGCAAGAAAGGACTCGCGCTGAGGATCCATGTGACGAAGGAGCCAAATTAAGACAGGATGATTGGAGTGGAGAGCTCAATGGCCTCGTCCTGGGTCAAGAGTGTGCGGGTGCTGGCAGCATAAGGGTGTGGGGCCTGACGAGGCAGCTGAGGTATTGGACTTTGTGTGCCAAGTCTGGACAGATATTTTTAAATGTCACAGGCCAAATGGAAGCTCAGTTGGCAGAGAGTCGAGGGGCAGGGGGATTTGGAGGACACTACATGGCCATGCCTAGATATGGTCAGGAGAACTGGGTAGGATTAGGGCCTGGGAAGAAGCCCCGCCTGGGAAGAGGTAGCAAGAAGGAGCCTGTGAGTAAGCTGGCACCAGGGGCAGCTGGCAGGCAAGAGGGCAGGTGAGGGACATGAGCAGGTGCTGGGCTGGGGGCATGGGGAGCTGTGTGGAAGGCCAAGGACAAAGCTAGAGAGGAGAGGTCAAAGCCAAGCCCCTCACTTGGGGAATGGTGGGGATTATCCAAAGCCTGGTGGCTGGGCCCCTTTCTGGCTTCAGAGAAATGAGCGCCAGTCTAAGTGTCCGACTTTCTATCCCAAAGCCTCAGGGTAATTTCCTTAGCTGCCCAGCAGTTTCTTGACTCAGGCAAAGGGTCTAGGCAAGAATTGAGTCAAGAAAACAAAGCCTCCAACATGTTCAGGAATCCCTAGATGGTTGCTGCTATGATTAATAAATAGTCAAAGTGAACTTGTGAACAACTACCATTGTAGGAGGGGGTTTGAAACTGCCCCTCAAGCCGAGCCCACCCAGAGATTGGTGTGTTTCAAACGCATAGAATTTGTTCTAAAGTCTGAAAGATGATAACCACCATTGTTTAGCTGGAGGAGGTTTTACAAAAGCATCTGGGGGCTTGACTTCTGAACTAGCAGACCCTCCAGACTACTAGGGTCTGCCATCTGCCTGTACTCAGACAGCCATAAGCAAGGGGCGGCCGCCCCCTATCGGCAGCTGCTATCCCACCCCACCACTATGTCTGCCACCACCCGCCTGTCACTCATCTGATCAGGGCCTAACCTCTGTAGGCATTTGCACTTGTTCTCCCTGCAGTGAACTGGAGCTATTATTATCTTTGGAGGAACAAGGGCCATCAGAATTAGGCAGAGACCCAGCAACTGAGTCGTTGGCTGGGTCCTCCTTGGCTTTGTTGTGACATTGGTCTGGGAGACCTGGGCTCTTGGTGAGTACCAAGTGGCCAGGCCTGGAGAGGGGAAGGCCAAGAAAGGGAGCGTTGAACTGACACAGGGGCCTGGGCCAGGCCTGTGGAGCCAGCATGGTTGCCCAGTTCCCTCTTTGCACCCTTGGTAACCTGAACAGAAGCACAACAAGGTTAGGCAGTTACCATAGCAACGTAACATCTGTGCATCCCTGGGCCTCCCTCAGCCCCAGCTGGGTGGGGACTGACTTAGGAGGTTCTGAGGAGGCCAAGGCAGCTTTGGCTTCTGAGCCTTGTTTCTCGGGACAAGGGAAGAGGGGAAGAAAAGGGGAGTTTCTCTTGGGACTCTTGGTTGGGTGTCAGGCAACCCCTTGAGTTTATTCTGATTTTCCTGTTCTGTTTCCTCCTCTGTGGCAGTTCAGAGCCCCCTCTCACTAGCCCAGGCCTCTTGGAGGAAACCAAGGCAGTTGCACCTCACAGACAGGCCTTAAACTACTTCCTCTGCACAAAGGCTTAGGAGATCCCTAGGCTCCTGAAGCCAAGTCCCCTCCTGTGGGCTCTAGGGGACACTTTGCCAAATGCTTGCTACCCGTGCTTGCTCTTCTGGGTGAGAAAAGCCCTTGCTCTACAGTGCCTGCTGTGTTCTGGGCCTTAGGAAAATGTACTAATTCACTTCACTGTCATGAGTCTTCTAAGGAATGAGAGGCACAGGGAGGTCCAATAACTTGCCCAAAACCACACAGGTGGAAAGTGGTAGGTTCTGGATTTGAACTTGAAATCATTTGGACTTTGGATCCCACTTTCCAAAACAGTTCCCTCAGATGAAGTTTGGAAGCTGAGGGGCCTTCAGGAAGAGTCCAAGGTGGTGTGGGCCTGCCCTGTAGTAGGGGCAGCTGGTAGAAAGGCCCTGGGTGGGGTAGGACAGTTGACTGGGAGCTGTAGAGAAGAAGGAGGCCAGGGCCATTGGCAGTTTGAGTTTGAGTCTGGATAGAATGAGAAACAGGAAGACCAGTTGGCCCAGGTGAGGTCTAGCTGGGCTGGGTAGTGACATCGTGACATGTGAAGCAAGCGAGCTCTTTTTTGTGGTATATGAGAGAAGAAGAAAGAGGAAGCTTAAGGGTGGCTTAGATTTGCTGGGGAGTCTGAGCTGCCCCATACTGATAGTTGAGGGCCTGTTCACTGAAGCTGTTCAATTTGGAAAGGCTTCCTCTGATTCCTCTTTGAAAGTGTAGAAAAGAGAACCCCCCCTTTTAGGTACTGGGGATTGAACCCAGAGATGCTTTTTCACTGAGCCACATCTACAGCCCTGTTCATTCTTTCTTGAGACAAGGTTTTACTAAGTTGCCTAGGGCATTCCTTAGTTGCTGAGGCTGGCCTCAAACTTGAGATCCTTATGTCTCAGCTTCACAAGACACTGGGATTACAGTTGAGCACCACCTTACCTAGCTACCATCTTCTTCACCTCTCTGAGGCTCAGCCTATAATCAGCTGGTTATTTGCAAACTGAAGGACACACACAGCCTCAGGGTTAGGCAGTCTTGGAGAGCTGCCCAGGGTAGTGGGAAGACCACGGAGCCACTGGGCACTGTGGAAAGTTCTAGAGAGACAGCCTGGGGCATATACACAGACAGAAGGATGTGCTTCTAACAATTCCTTCCAGTCCTTCTGAAGCCATCATTCTACCATCCTCTTGGTCAGTGGTGAGTTGGCAGGGCCTCCTGTGTCCCCCATTTTTATTCTGTGAGGAAATTGGGCCTTATAGATGGTTAATGCTTAAGGCTATACCTCTGATCCATGAGAAAAATGGCAGGCTACTGGACATTACCAGATCAGATGTAGTGGCAGCTGGTGCTCACAGTGGCGACACCATAGAGAAGTCTCCTTGGCTTTCCTGGAATCCCTGCTGAAGCCATGGTCTCAACTCTGGGTGATTGATATCATGGGGTCTCCAGTGGGGCGCAAGGTGCCCGAGCCCCTTACCACTAGATGGCGCAGATGCAGTGATGATGCTGGTGAGCTTTTCAAATACCCCTTCTCAGCAGAACCATTGGGATGGGTTTTCAAGGACCCCTTTGCCTGGACACCTCTTGGACCCAATACCCTGTCCCAACTGTGCCATCTTGCTTTGAACTCACAGGCGAGTCACGTCACCTATGTGGGCCATAGGTTTATTGTTGAGACAGAGATAGATGGGTCTTCATCAGCTCTGTCATTTTGTGATGAACTCGGTTGCGAATCAGTAGCCTCATTTCTTCTCTTGTTCCCCACTTCTTGTCCCTATCTCACAGGGTCAACAGCAGTGCAATGGCTCTGTCCCCTTGCGCTGGCTAATCAAAGGATTTCAGAAAAGTCTTTCCAAGCATGACTTCTACTCTGGGCTTGCCCGGCTGAGGGCCCTGAAGAAGTGGACTCTTCAGTGGGTAAACCATTTGACTACCATCATTCACAAAGGCCTTAGAGATGGGGTTCCAAGGCTATCCTGCACATCAATGGAGAACACCACAGAGATTGCCTGTAAATGTAAGTTACACTGATGGCTGTTTGGGCTACTGGAAGAAAGATAAGTGAAGAACATTCTGAGTGTGTCCTTGGGAAGGGTGTGTGTGTGTGTGTGTGTGTGTGTGTGTGTTTTCTTTTATCTTGTTAATCCTTTCCTATGTGCTTCTCTTCTTTCTCCCCCAGCCCTTTCTTTTTCAGTGTCTCTGAAGCCTTGGGCTGCAGTGCCACCTTACTGCCCTGGCCTTGCTGTATAGTGCAGAGCCTCATGAGCACTTCCTCCATGGTTTGAAATAAGTGCTGCTTCAGCTTCTTCTGAATGGGGCATCACCTTTGCCCTCTGAAGAGTTTGGGGACAAGATCCTTGAGGTAAGGACTGATCTCCACCCTACAATAGAGCAATAGAGACAGCTGTCCTTGGGGCTTCTGAATTACATGGCTAGAGACATCAGACAGAGTCAAGGCACATCTCCCTGAGTGAAATCCAGCAAGCTGACCTCTTAGGAGCCCCTTGGCAAAGTTTGCTTTGGATTCACCATTGGGCTTCTTAGAGATGGCGTGATTAATTCATGGTGGGAACCCTACCACATAAAGCCATCTAAAATAAGAGGATTTGCTGTACTAGGTTACTGCCATGTCACATCAGGCAGTAGGTGGGAACTGGAGACCAGCTACTGTGAGCAGTGAGCAGCAGCGTCACCATGTACTGTTGCATATTAAATGAGCCCATCAGAGGTAGGCAGCTACCAGCTCACCCACCCATTTTGTCTTTGGGCCATGAGACACTTGGATGTGTAGCCTTTCCCCCCAAGGAGCGCCCTCCCTGTCACTCTTTTCCTAGCAGTCCTGGGAAAGCTCTCTTCGAGGTGTCTTCTGCCAGCCCTCCCAGAGTTCATCTTCCCCAGCATTCTTCTGAGTGCCCAGCCAGTGTTCTAAGGTGGAAGGAAAGGCCAGACTGATGGCCATCCTCATCAGGCAGTGCATCAGCTCTGTGGACCTGCCATATCAGCTGCTCAGCAATAGGGCACATGGGGAAGACACTCAGGCCTTGGGCAAAGGCGAGGCCATTTTCCCAGAAAGAACTGGCCTCTTGGTTTGCTTAGCAGTGAACTGACAGCTCCCTTGGTTCAGAGATAGGCAGGGGCTCTCTATCATTGTGACATTTGAGTTAGAAAATTGCTCCTAGGCTCTTCTCTTAGGGCCCCTGCAGAACATCATATAACACCCTCACCACCACCACCATCTCACATAAAGGTAACTGACAGAACCTTCAGAGAAACAAAAGATGTTGAGGATAGTTATCAGTGCCTGAGGACATGGCAGAGCTAGG